TGTATATTTTGAACAAATTTGAAAGATAATTGTGTTTCTGCGTGTTTTTTTCACTTGACATGCAAGAACATCGAATGCAGAAATCCAATCCGTAAACTTTAGCAGAATCCAAAATAGGAGCTAAAATATAATCCAAACATATTTGCTTGTGTCGAAGCGACATGGTTTACCATAAAAGTCTTTTTTATAAAACTAATAGAAGTTTTATAAATTAAATTAATATAAATTAACTGATAAGATCGAGTACGAAAGACTTAACTTGAAAATAAATTTTTCAAGCTTTGTGGCCGAACTTCGTGGACTTGCTTCGCAGATGAGACAATATAGGAACTGTATTCTCTCATCTGTGAACGCTAATGTCATTAAAAGCCTCGATGAATTAATTCAGAATTTTCTTAGTGAATGCTCTGTGCATTTCATTATCTCGCAAAGAAAATAAAATATAAATTATGGTGTCCATTACGTTACATACGATTGAATCTACTTTGAACACGACTTTTATTGCTTGTTTGTTATATACAAACATATCAAAATTTTTTCTTAATTATGAAATTAGTGTAAATTATCATAAGCTTAATGGCTTATATTAATTTTCTTTAAAAATATTTTAATGGACATCGATTGCAGGTTTAATATGGCACATTAATTTATGATTTGTATAATAAATTACTGATTACATATGGGAATCTTAATATTTTTGACTGTATAATATAAAAATTTTGTGTAAAATTCATAAAAGCATAAATAAGCACCACAAGTTTCTTCATGTAATGCAATAACTTTTTTTATTTAATTCAATTTCAGCATATTTCAGCACAAATTTTCGAACGCAAGTTATATTTGGTGAATATCAATTGACGGGTTTTTATTAATTAATTTGCTTGACAGTCAATTTAGGCGTGTACCGAAAAATAAAAACCGCATTGTTCGAAAAGCGAGGCGTTCGAAACCCGAGTTTGACTGTATATGAAATACTTGATGGCAACATCAAAGGCTTTATAGTGTATAAAAATTTATGTAGTATTGTTCGTAATTCGACAAATTTGGACTGGCGAGTGTTAATTTACTGAATTTCGGGTGTACATTCAGTAATAACCGCACTTTGATCACGGGATAATTTACCACATTTATCATAATATGTGACTGTTTTGCACGTACATCAAACAACTAGCGACTGGCAGTACACGCTTAAAGTAACATAACGGCACTGCCAATTTATCAATAACATGTAAATTACGGCATAAATCTTTTGATTTAACATTACCAACATATTGTACACAAAAATATATTAATTATTGTAAAAAATAAATCAATGAAACCCTTGATTGTTCATTTATTTTATGAAACCAACAACCTGAGTGCAATTATTACGAGTTTTGTTACACGACATTTTACTGTTANTGTAAAATTCATAAAAGCATAAATAAGCACCACAAGTTTCTTCATGTAATGCAATAACTTTTTTTATTTATTTCAATTTCAGCATATTTCAGCACAAATTTTCGAACGCAAGTTATATTTCGTGAATATCAATTGACGGGTTTTTATTAATAATTTGCTTGACAGTCAATTTAGGCTTGTACCGAACAATGAAAACCGCATTGTTCGAAAAGCGAGGCGTTCGAAACCCGAGTTTGACTGTATATGAAATACTTGATGGCAACATCAGAGGACTTTATCCTGTATAAAAACTTATGTAGTATTGTTTGTAATTCGACAAATTTGGACTGGCGAGTGTTGGTTTACTGAATTTTGTGTGTACATTCAGTAATAACCGCACTTTGATCACAGGATAATTTACCATATTTATCATAATATGTGTGTGTTTTTCAGGTATATCAAACAACTAGCGACTGGCAGTACACGCTTAAAGTAACATAACGGCACTGCCAATTTATCAATAACATGTAAATTATTGCATAAATATTCTGATTTAACATTACCAACATATTGTAAACAAAAATATATTAATTATTGTAAAAAATAAATCAATGAAACCCTTGACTGTTCATTTCTTTTATGAAACCAACGACCTGAGTGCAATTATTACGAGTTTTGTTACACGACATTTTACTGTTAAGCATATATTTTATATACTGCACATATATATACAGGACGACAGAGAAATAAAATGGCGCCAAAGTAATGGACATNTTCACGAATTAAATTACTATAAATTAACTGATAAGATGGAGTACGAAAGACTTTACTTGAAAAGAAACTTTACAAGCTTTGTGGACGAACTTCATGGACATACTTGGCAGATGAGAGAATACAGTTCCTGTATTCTCTCATATGCGTTGTTTCTATATATGCAAAGTGAACGTTAATGTCATTAAAAGCCTCGATAAATTAATTCAGAATTTTCATAATGAACTCTCTCCTTGCATTCCATTGTCTTGCAAACATAATAAAATTTCAATTATGGTGTCCATTACGTTACGTAAGAGTGAATCTACTTTGAAGACGACTTTTGTAGTTGCTTGTTCGTTACATACAAACATTTCAAAGTTTTCTCTTAAATATTAAATCAATGAAAATTAACAAAAGCTTAATGGCTTATATTAATTTTCTTCGATAATATTTTAATAGACGTCAATTTTAAATTTAATATGGCACGTTAATTCATGATTTGTATAACAAATTACTGATTACATATGGTAATCTTAAAAATTTTGACTGTATAATATAAAAATTTTCTGTAAAATTCATAAAAGCATAAATATGCACCACGAGTTCCTTTATATCATGCAATAACTTTTTTTAGTGAATTCAATTTCAGCATATTTAAGTACGAATTTTTGAATGCAATTTATATTTCGTGAATATCAATTGACGGGTTTTTATTAATTAATTTGCTTTACAGTCAATTCAGGCGTGTGCCAAAAAGTAAAACCTGAATTGTTCGAAAAGCGAGGCGTTCGAAACTTGAGTTTGACTGTATATGAAATACTTGATGGCTGCATCAGATGCTTTATACTGTATAAAAATTTACGTAGTATTGTTTGTAATTCGACAAATTTGGACTGGCAAGTGTTGGTTTACTGAATTTTGTGTGTACGTTCATTAAAAATATCACTTTGATCACGGGATAATTTACCATCTTTATCATAATATGTGACTGTTTCGCAGGTACAACAAACAACTAGCGACTGGCACTAAACACGTAAAGTAACATAACGGTACTGCCAATGTAACATGGAAATAATGGCATAAATCGTCGGATTTAACATTACGAACATATTGTACACAAAATTTATTAATTATTGTAAAAAATAAATCAATGTAACCCTTGACTGTTCATTTATTTTATGAAACCAACGATTTGAGTGCAATTATTACAAGTTTTGTTACACGACATTTTACTGTTAAGCATGCATTGTATATACTGTACAGTACATATATATTTACTAGCGAAATGCTTATGGATCGCACTCGTTGGTATAGTCCAAGAAACGTGAAAAGGAAAGAAGAGTTAAAGTTATAGGAAGGGTTTAGTTTGAAGGTGAAAGACAGCTAGATAGTACAGAATAAAAGTGAGAATACCCCATAAAACTACAAGGTCCCCGCATCGCCTTTATTCAACTAAAGAAAAAAAGTAATTACAAAGAAAACGTATGTACAAAATTTGTTTACAGTATGTACACTTTGCTTGACAGTCAAGTCAAGCGTGTACGGAAAAATGAATACGGAATTGTTCGAAAAGCGAGGCGTACGATTTCCGAGTTTGACTGTATATGAAATACTTGATGGCAACATCAGAGTCTTTATACTGTATAAAAATTTACATAGTATTGTTTGTAATTCGACAGATTTGGACTGGCAAGTGTTGCTTTACTAAATTTTGTGTGTACGTTGTTTAAAAATTGCATTTCGATCACGGGATAATTTACCGTATTTATCATAATATGTGACTATTTCGCAGGTACAGCAAACAACTAGCGACTGGCAGTACACGCGTAAAGTAACCTAATGACATTGCCAATGTAACATGTAAATTACGGCATAAATCGTCGGATTTAACATTACCAACATATTGTACACAAAAATATATTAATTGTCGTGAAAAATATATCAACTTAATTCTTGACTGTTCATTTATTTTATGCAACCAATGATATGAGCGCAATAATTACGAGGTTTGTTACACTTCATTTTACTGTTAAGCATATATTTTATATACATATGTATACAGGGCAAGACAGAAGTAAAATGGCGCCAAAGTAATCGATATAATTATGCCACAGTTCTTTCCAAAAGCAATATAATTCTGTAAATAGTGTTTATTTAACTTATAGTAATTAAAAACCGTTCTTTTATATCACTATACATTATTTTCATGCAAAAAAAGTACGATGCTGATTATACAGAAAATTTCAATGGAATATTTCTCAATGTAGAGGACGTGGTTGCTGTATCATCAAATGCAGTGTGTAGCGTCTGTGTAATCCAAAACTAGTTGGTAGACGAACGGACAGCAATTGGTTAGAAAACGTACGTTTTATTTAAAAAATTCCTAATTCATATGCATTTCGGATTGGCTTAAATTCCCAACCCCTCTTCAGTGCTGTTAAGATTACACAAAAAAATATAATTTAAGGTTAGTTTTACGGTATTGGTTAGTAGGAACTAGGGTTTCTCATTTCCCGGTCTTTTGCTTGTCCCGGGATCTCGGGATAAAAGTGAACTGTTTCCCGGGATCCCGGGAAATCCCGGGATAGAATTAATTATTTTTAAGGTATACAAAATATCTTGAAATCAAATGATATAATTATTTTCCATTTTTTAAAGTAATTTTAAANGTTTAAAATACATACTAGATATTTTCATTTTATACAATAATTACAATTGCTTTTCTGTACAATACACATTATAAGATATTACAGAATGGCTGTGTTCTGTACCCAAATCAGAATTTTCATATATTCAATAATTACAAAAGAATTGCAAAATAATTCTAAAATTTTTTTAGTTAGAATATAATACTCGAATTATGTACAGCTCTTGTGTGGTTTCTGAGCTTCACAAGACATTTGTTTTCACGTTGCAATACGCCACTAATTTGAATAAACGAAGACAATGTGGAGTATAAGCCGCTAATTACCTGAAAATATAATTAAACACAATTGAATTCCTACTGATTTCCGACAGAATATTAGTTTTTCTTACGCTATGCAACCACCGATACTAGTGATTCCAAATACTTACTCTTATAACGAAATTTCTCTTAATGTAAAAGAATCCTCCAACGGATATTCCAATGGGATTCTTACCAAATCTCTTTATGAAATTGTTGATCTAAGAGAAAACAACTTAAATTTCATTAAAAATATACGAGGTCTGTTCAAAAAGTATCGGACATTTATTTTTTCTGCGTAAACCAATGACGCGCGGGAGGCCTTTTTCGGTGGAGTTTTGGAGGGGACAGTCGTGCACAGCCCTAAATTTTTTCCTGCCGGCAGGAAGCGTTAGTCGTTGGCAGTCGGCCTATGAGTGAGGACATGTATCCAGCTCTCGTCGGATTCCACTAAGTTGGAAAATGACTGAACAACGTGAGCAGCGATATTACATCAAATTTCGCCAAAAACCTTGGAGATACCCGAGCGTAAACCACTCGCAAAGATTCAGCAGGATTTCGGGGACGATCCTCGAGGCCAAAAAAAGCGCGGCAGGTCCGCAGCAATATCAAGGTCATGTTGACGGTTTTTTCGACTCTCGTGGGGTGGTGTATCGTGAGTACGCACCACGAGGCCAAACCATCGCAAAGGAGTACTACCAGAAGGTCCTTCGTCGTCTTTCCGATGCTGTGCGACGCAAACGACCGGATCTGTGGTCGATCAAAACTTAGCAGCTCCATCGTGATAACGCATCCGCCCATTCTGCGCATCTCATTCGGGCTTTCGTCGCCAAAACACAGCACTCCTGTGGTTCGTCACGCTCCGTACTCTCCCCATATGGCTCCGTGTGACTTTTGGCTATTTCACAAGCTGAAAATGCCGCTAAAAGGAACCCTATTTTAGTCGAGAGAAGACATCGTGCGGAATGCGACGGACCGGCTGATGGCCATTCCAAAAGATGCGTTCCAGCAGTGTTTCCAGCAATGGCAGGAACGCCAAAAGAAGTATATACATTACCAAGGAGACTACTTTGAAGGGGATTAGGGTTTTGTACCTCAAAATCAATAAATGTATTTTTGCCGACCTAAGGTCCGATACTTTTTGAACAGACCTCGTATTAATTGCACAAAAGTTTGTTTAAGTTTATAAAAATTACAACCTTGTATTATATTAATTATCCATACCTGACAATTCAAAGCCGTGTTCATTTGTCAACATGTTTACAGAAATAGAATGAAGTATATACTAATTTAAAACATTGTGTTGTTGAATTATTCGAATTTATTGAACGAAAATATTAACGTATTCATTATTACTGTTTTTTTAAAAATGTATTTTTTATAAATGATACGTGAAACTTCACTGTTTCTAACATTTTCTTAATACAGTATATGTAAGTCGCTCGTCAATTGATACATTATAAGAAATTCAAATATAAAAAAACGTAAACTTATTACCTTGAACTTAAATTCTAAAGGAAAGGACACAGAAGAAATCTTTTCAATATTTATAAAGCTGTCGTACATCTGGAAAAAAAAGTAATGCAAGTTTTTTATTAAATGATATTCTACTGTTAAATAAATATTAGTTATTGCAGGAGACAAATGTTTAGATTTTGGACTCTCATAATTCAAGCATGATTCTGTTGCAGAGCGAAGAAAAGTTCAGTTCGGAAATGAAAAAATATTGATAATCTCCTAATCGACAATTTTTTACAAGTAGCTAAACAGAGACTAAATTTAGTGAAAGAGTCTCACATGACAAAGAATTCAATAGGAAAAATTTAATTTTGAATTACTTAGCATTTCCTGCACCTTTTGGTGACAATATCTGCTATCACATTATATTAAAACGCTCTTTATTCTTTCAACTATTATAAACTGTCAAAATCCTTAATTTTGAAAGTAGAAATAAATTGTATAAAATATTATAAATCATAGTAACGAGTAAAATCATAATTAAGTGTAAACCTATTACAGTGTAACCCCTTTGTCTCTTCATTCTTTACAACGTTAACCACCAAAACTTAACAGCATGAATCCCTCTAAAAATCAAACCTCCCTACAAAATTTCAGAGATTTGCGACGAAAGTGCAGTTATTAAGCTTCAGAAACGGTAAATAAAATCATATTCTTCAAAACAAACTATCACANAAACCGTTACGTAGTATCGTTCCCTTCACTTCAAAATTCGTATGCTCAGGGCCAAGGCTAACTCCAAATTCGTGCTGCATTGAGTAAATAGACTAGTTTAATGTTATTTGTTTAATTATTGTACGTTATAACGAATAAAATATTTAATTATTCTTAATATAATGTTTTAGTATATCGCCCAGATAATTGTTTTTCGCCCCCCAACTATAAATTGTTGCTAATCGCCCTATGACCATGGAAAAACGCATACATGGGGCGATTTCGCCTCCGTTTAGAAACACTGGATTACAGTGTTCTTAACGGAATTATACAGGAGATATTACAGAATGGCTCTGTTCCGTAGCCAATAAGATGCAAAATNTATTATTTAAATTTCTCGATGTTTAAGTGGTCATTGTCTGACCGATTGCGATAGTTTTTTTCTGTTATACGTAACATGTAAAAAGTAGAAATGAAATACAATTAAAACGTTGTAACTAATGTATATAAAAATACAGATAAAACACACTCACACGATAAATTTTCGAGTATACAAATTGCAATGTTAACTGAGTGCTGCTGCAAACAGACTTCTAGTTGTAAACACAAAACAATCATCATATTATTAAAGACCACATTATTGTTATATGATCGTATTATTAGCACTTTGAACAAGTTTCGTCATACCGCATAAACCGGACATCAGTACAAAAAGTCCTAATAATACGATATGTTTTAGTTCACATTTATACAATAAATTTTATATAATAAAGACACAAAGACACTTAAATTATCAAAAAATTTAAATTGAAAGTGAAAAATCACGAAGGAGTGAATTAAACTGAAGTTAAATGGATCGTTATACACTTAGTTAAACCTATTGAATCTGATTTTAAAAAGTTGTTATATCAAGTGTAATTATTATAATTCGATTTTGAAGTATTTTACATCAACAACTAACTAGTATTCGTAACTTACCAATGTCGTGAAGAAAGACAGGGCCCAACTGAATAAAATGAATCCTGAAAGGAAAATGAGTGAAAGAATTCCAAAACAAGTTCTCAATGTCAATTCCATATTTACAAATAATGTCGCATACAGCAAGAAACACGTAGCATACAGAAAATGAGTGTATATAAACGGTATAAGAATATTCCATTTCTCGTTAATCGTTTCAAAGAACTCCCAGATTTCTTGATGTTTCCACATTAGTGCGTTAATTTTCTTTGTTCTTTCATTTAGTTCTAACAACAACAAGTTCCTTATGTTTAATTTAAATAGTTCTAAGGAGAGATCTATCAATCTTTTGCCCAATGTTATGCAGAGTAATGTGCATATTAGAAAGAACGATATAATCTGTCCTGCTATATATAAATACCAAACTGTATGAATGCAAACACAAACGAAGGCTTCCATATCTGAGCCTTTTAGTTTNTAAATAGTTCTAAGGAGAGATCTATCAATCTTTTGCCCAATGTTATGCAGAGTAATGTGCATATTAGAAAGAACGATATAATCTGTCCTGCTATATATAAATACCAAACTGTATGAATGCAAACACAAACGAAGGCTTCCATATCTGAGCCTTTTAGTTTCTTTATTATTATAAAATAAATAATTCCAGTCATTATATTTAGCAACATAAATATAAAAAACAAAGAGGAAAAGATGCTAATCAGGAATACTTGTATTTGCTCGGTAATTTTCCATTCTCCTTCGTAACTGCTAATTATGCAATGAAGTGAAATCTTGCTCCTCTTAAGAATACTAAACTGAGCAGCTACATAAATGGATAGGAAAGCGCTGGCAACCGCTGCTGGTAAGGCATAATNCTTTTAACTAATGCATAATCTTTCGAAACGCGCGGCCCTTCGGACCGCGAGGCGTAGGCGGTGGCCCATGTTGCCATGCCTTATGCCGCCATTGGTCATAGAAATGATGTAATTTGAAAATAAAATTATTTATAAATACGTATGTCAAGTTATATTATTTTACGACGCAAAACATATTTAAGAGTTTACGGCTACTGTGCCGGGTGAGACGTTGTTAATTTAAAACAAAAAAAGTTATGCATTCCATCACGTATATCAGTGGTTCTCAACAGGGGGTACATGTACCCCTAGGGGTACGAGCGTAAGTCGAAGGGGTACATCTAACTTTTATTATAAAATGGCGTATGTTAATCAATTTGCTGTAAATTATTAACACAAGAAACGACAAAAACTTGCTTTAAAATATCCCAGTGTGAACACCGATTTTCCTTTTAACAGTGTAAACAACTTGTTTATCCACTATTTGCTCCGTTAGTTCCGAGTGAACCTGTAGTCTAGTAAAATTACTGTTTAACCGAGCATTAATTATAGAATAGAAAAAAAATTTTTTTTCTATAATTATTGCTCGATAAGATTGGGGCTTTTCGTGTTTTTACTGGACTACTGGTATTAGAAACAACGAGGCCTGGAATGTACCCTCACCATGCAATGCGTGTCACTGCATGTGTTCATTACTTGAAATTTAGCGAATTTAGACATTACATTTGTTACAAAAATTGAAAGATTCATGTATTGTTCTGCACGTTATAAATTCGCAGCCATTACATTGTAAGTACACAATTATAATCTCTATTTAACAACGTGGGAACCAAATTTTGAAAAAATTGCTGAAGATTTATCGCAACAAATATCCCATTAAATTTTGTTAGAAATTATTGTAGAATAATTTAAATTTTCTTTATTGTTAATTATAATTATTTATTTTTAGGAAATGTAATTTATGCATGTATGGAAATGACTTCTGTGATTTTATATAATATATTTATCAAATAATAATAAATAAATGTATGTACTGTACCTGATTAAATTTATTATTATTTACGTAAAATAAGTAGTTAGTTATAGTTAGTTAGAGTTTTCTAATGGCGCTCAGTTATAAGGGCTGTATACATCTAACGCAGTAATTATAAAATTTACATACAAGAATATAAGGGGTACTTGAGAAACAATTAATGGGCTAATGGAATACATCAACAAAAAAGGTTGAGAACCACTGACGTATATAAACAGTATCGTAATTCGCCAAGTGCAAATGAGCAAACTACTATAATTTTTGTTTATTTTAAACAATCCGGATAATAAAGGTCCGGATAATCGAGATTCTACTGTAGTTATTGTATTTAATATTTTATACAATTAATTGTACAAAAGTTATTGTAATTCCGTATCATACATTATTATATTTTCCATAATTTTATGCATTCAAAGTATTTTTAAATATTTCAAAAATTTTATAATGTATCAAAACATTTTAAAATTATACTAACGCCGCGTATTGATTCCACCATGTTTAATTATTAATTAATTTTTACATAAATAAAACAGTGAATTGAATATTCAAATGTAAAATTTTATTTTAAAAATAATTCATTAAATTTTCACAAGGTGGCGTTATGTGTGTATGACTGAACCCAGAATTTAGCAGAATTTTTTTACTTAATTTTATTCTAATTCTGATTTTAAAAAATATATTAAAAACAATAATAAATATAATTTTAGCGTGTTAAAACACGGTAAAAACAGTAGAACCTTACTTAGAGGTAACCTCTAGACAGCAGTTATTTTTTCCGAAACATTTGTTTGAAATGCCTATCAAATAACCATTTAACAACGGGCATATCTTCCGTGGACATTCTTGGGAGGTTTAACTGTATTTTTCAAACATTGTAATAACAATTAGTAAATATCATTGTAAACCATGTGAAAACTTTCGAGGATGAGCCAAACAAAACTAAATAGTTAATTATCACAAATTAATCTTTAATCATGTTTAAAATACCGTAGTATGTGTTATAGAGTTTGTTTGTCAGCATTTCAAAAAAATTACTAATAGGTACATTCAGTTTTTTTATTAACAGACACATTTAAACCTTTTTAATTCTCGATAACATTGTTACATTAATAAAATTTAACAATATCTAGAATAATTAAAAGCATGAAATCTACTTAATTATATAAAAACTCTTGATGAAAACGAAAATTACGTTATTTCAACTAAAAAGTTTTTCCTGAAAGGAGATGAGTGGCACGACTTTACCGTTAAAGTATGATTTACAGGAGCATGACACCACTAATTTGAAATACAAAGCGTGTATTTTAAATGAAATAAATTAAAAATATGACTACGAATTGCAGCCGAACATTGTCACAACATCACATTGAATAATTGCTGGTTATATCATATATTATAGTCTACCTAGAAAACTAAATTTCTGTAATTTTATTAACCGCTTTCTGTGTAAACGTTTCTATTTTAAATAAAATTACTTTTCTGTATGAATGTTAATATTTTGTATGTATATCCACCAAAGT